GATTAACGATGTAAACTGAACTTCCAGAAGATTAACGATATAACTGAACTTCCAGAAGATTAACGATGTAAACTGAACTTCCAGAAGATTAACGATGTAAACTGAACTTCCAGAAGATTAACGATGTAAACTGAACTTCCAGAAGATTTAACGATGTAAACTGAACTTCCAGAAGATTAACGATGTAAACTGAACTTCCAGAAGATTAACGATGTAAACTGATCTTCCAGAAGATTAACGATGTAAACTGAACTTCCAGAAGATTAACGATGTAAACTGAACTTCCAGAAGATTAACGATGTAAACTGATCTTCCAGAATATTAACGATGTAAACTGAACTTCCAGAAGATTAACGATGTAAACTGAACTTCCAGAAGATTAACGATGTAAACTGATCTTCCAGAAGATTAACGATGTAAACTGATCTTCCAGAAGATTAACGATGTAAACTGATCTTCCAGAAGATTAACGATGTAAATGATCTTCCAGAAGATTAACGATGTAAACTGATCTTCCAGAAGATTAACGATGTAAACTGAACTTCCAGAAGATTAACGATGTAAACTGAACTTCCAGAAGATTAACGATGTAAACTGATCTTCCAGAAGATTAACGATGTAAACTGAACTTCCAGAAGATTAACGATGTAAACTGATCTTCCAGAAGATTAACGATGTAAACTGAACTTCCAGAAGATTAACGATGTAAACTGAACTTCCAGAAGATTAACGATGTAAACTGAACTTCCAGAAGATTAACGATGTAAACTGAACTTCCAGAAGATTAACGATGTAAACTGAACTTCCAGAAGATAACGATGTAAACTGAACTTCCAGAAGATTAACGATGTAAACTGATCTTCCAGAAGATTAACGATGTAAACTGATCTTCCAGAAGATTAACGATGTAAACTGAACTTCCAGAAGATTAACGATGTAAACTGAACTTCCAGAAGATTAACGATGTAAACTGAACTTCCAGAAGATTAACGATGTAAACTGCGCAATGGTGGACAAACTAACCTGGACAATTTTAATCACATGTTCCTCATTTTCAGCATGATAGAGTCCAAGAGTTGCAGCACAACTACACCAGTAACATACAGGTAAAGAGATGAAACCCAGGAGCTGGAAAATGACCTATCGAAAAGTAGATAGACACACGTCACCATGAAGTAAGTAGGTACACACACGGTCACCAGGAAGAAATTAGGTACACATTAGAGTGGTAGGAAGGTGTTTCACTAGCCTCACGGTTGCCAGGTCCTCGACAAAGAGATCGTGGAGGCAGATTCCATACATAGCTTTATGAACTGGTATGGTAGGACCCACGAGTAAATTCTACAAGCGGCAAGGTTAAAGACAGGGCCAGGAGCTGAGATTCTACCCCTGTAACAACAAATTTCTTTAACATTAGAGTGGTCGGCAGGTATTACACACACACACATACACACACATACACATACACATACACACACACACACACACACACACACACACACACACACACACACACACACACACACACACACACACACACACACACACACACACACACACACACATGACAGTGTCCACCATCAAAGACACTGCAAGACTCCAAGCGAACATCAACCAAATCTTTCAATAGCCTGCAGAAAACAGTATGAAATTCAATGAAGAGAAATTTTAATTACTCCGATATGAAAAACTTGAGTAAATTAAAACTATATCGGAGTATAAAACAAATTCCAACCACACAATAAAGAGAAAAACTAATGTGAAGGACCTGGGAGTGATAATGTCAGAAGATCTCATTTTCGAATATCACAACAATGTATCTACCACATCTGCTAGAAAAATGATAAGATGGATAATGAGAACCTTCAAAATTAGAGATGTCAAGCCCATGATGACTCTCTTCAAATCCCTTGTTCTTTCCAGGCTGGAATATTTCTGTACACTAACGGCCCTTTTCAAGGCAGGTGAAATTGCTGACCTGGAGAATGTACAGAGAACCTTCATGGCACACATAAGCACGATAAAATACCTAGATTATTAGGAACGGTTGAAGCTCATTGACTTGTATTCCCTGGAACGCATGATAATATATACACTTGGAAAATCCTAGAGGGATAGTACCAAATTTGAACACGGAAATCACTCCCTATGACAGCAAAAGACTGGGCAGGCAGAGCAGCGTCCCTCCAGTTAGAAGCAGGGGCGCCACGAGTACGCTAAGAGACAACACAATAAGTGTCAGGGGTCCAAGACTGTTTAATTGCCTCCCAGTATACATAAGGGGGATTACCATTAGACCTCTGGGTGTCTTCAAGAAGGTGCTGGACAGGCACCTAAAGTCATTTCCTGACCAGCCGAGCTGTGGTTTGTTCGTCAGTTTACGTGCGGCCAGCAGTAACAGCCTGGTTGATCAAGCCTGGTCACAGACTGGGCCGCGGGGGCGTTGACCCACGAAACCCTCTCCAGATAGATACATACACACACACACACACACACACACACACACACACACACACACACACACACACACACACACACACACACACACACACAAACACACACCTGCGGGGCCAGGAGCTGTGAATCGACCCCTGCAATCACAATTACGTGAGTACACACACACACGTATGAACTATGAGAGGCTAGAGGAGCTAAACTTGACGACACTAGAGGACAGAACCAGAGGTGACATAATTACAACGTACAGAATAATGAGGCAGGTCTCAGGTTCACGAAGTCACAACTGGAAGTTAAAAACACAGATGAGCCATCGAGATGTTAGGAAATACTTGATTAGCACTAGAGTGGTCAGGAAGTGGAATGACCTAGATGTCGTAGGGGTTCTTAAAAGGAGATATCGAGGGTTGAAGATAGACACACTTGTTGGATGATAATGCTATATTGTCAGACTGTGGTAATGGGAGATGGAGCCCAGCCTTGCCGTGTTCTAGCCTGGATGTCTATGTGCCGACTGAGAAGGAGGCAGAGGTACGAACGTACACATGCGCATCCCGTGACGTCACACAGTCACTCGGCCTAGGGATCTTCTATGTAAACACATGGATGGTACTATGATATGCTATACATCACATATAAGGGGATCAGCAACTATGCTGACAGCTCGGCCATGTTATGTATGTCGTCTCGACATACACTACTATCCTATAGGCTGAAAAGGCAGGTGGTTCTGGGCTGATTCTATACAATAACAAATTCATATATAACTTAGAACTAATGGATGGTATCATAATGGATGTTAACAAAATGAGTTTTACGTAATGGGTGTTGACGTAATCACTTTTAACGTAATGAGTTTTAACGTAATGCATTACAAACTATAAGAACAAATCATTGTACAATGTGGATGGAATTGATCGATCGATCTGTATTCATGCATTCTACGGATTCTGAGGAAGAATAAATATATATATACAAGGTGAAATTAACAGCAAAGGCATCTGGTGTGCACTCAGATCATTACTGTCAAATTCTCAGAATACGGAGGGAACGTGAATACGAAAAAAAAAAAAATCTGAAAACTAATCAGTTAATAACAAACAGTTGACAATTTACTTCATCTCGGACATCTAGTTATACAGACTATGTACATTTAAACCCAATTATGCTAGGGTGAGGTTCACTTATGCAGAATGGTTATCATCTCTAGGAGGATCGAATTCCTCTGCAATGGCTAACGCATGCCTTGACTGAGGGAGATCTGAACGAGTATCTACAAAAGATACAGCTACATTCACTAGTGACTGTGGAATTACTAACTCTTCTGTTAGGAGTACTCAACTCGACTGTTCGATACAGTAATTCTTGGCTCATTACAGAGTCACTAATGGGTGCTGGTGGCTACACAGTCAGAATAAGATCTTCCTGGAGCAGGAATCGAATCACCAGAACACAAGGGATTGGTTCTTTCTTACTGGAGGAATGAACAAACTCATTGGAGTGGATGGCTCTCCCCGGTTTGTCAGCATAGTTGCTGATCCCCTTATATGTGTTGTATAGCATATCATAGTGGGATCAGCAACTATGCTGACATAGACAGCGAAGTGGTGGAGGCAGAATCCATACATAGTTTTGGGAAGAGGTATGATAGGGCTAACGCACCCAGGAGATAATGAAACCAGAAACGGCCAGGAGAGACGCTGGGCCAGGAACTGAGACTCGACCCGTGCAACCATAATTAAGTGATTCCCAGACAATCAGCACTCATGCTGCTGCTGATCCACTCACCTCAGTCACTTTTCTTTAGTCACGTTTAAACTCATATATTTAATTCATTAGTTGACTTTCCTTTATGTTTTTGTGATAATTCATGGGCGTGAAAATTAATTCTGATATTGATTTCAGTGATTTTTTTTTTACAGACTTTCTTAAGCCCCTCCATCCTCCCCAAACCAAGCCCCGGAAACCTCCCTTAAACCAACCCCTGGAACCCTTCCCCAGTCCATGCTCATACTCTCCCCCGGTGCGCGACCCACTAACAAGGAGCGCCGGACTGGCCCTCGGAGCTCAGTGTGGCTCTGGCTCTCGTCACCACCGCTGACTTCGAGGCTCACCTTCAAGGCCGCCCTCGAGTTGATCCTCGAGCAGGGAATGAGAGTTCCCACTCCAGTGACAGGACCAGGTCTTAAGCAGGTCCTCATGTGAGGTTCTCGGCCTTGCATTCAAAGAAACTTAGTTTCAAAGGTACAAGAAGGTCCAGCTTCTTGTGTCCAGCGGAACTGAACAATTAGTTCTGATATATTATCAATTTCACGTACTCGACTCACGATCAGATTTCAGGACCTAAGTTGCTACTTGTGGCATTTTTAAGTACTGAGCATCATGCTCTGACTTGCCTGCACTGTGAGAGTTAGAGTTGCACTCAGACTAGTGGACGGACACCGTCTCGAGCTGTCCAGAGTCTCGAATAAAAGAAAGACATACACCAGCAGACCAGAATACAAACACCTGCAGCACACTCTAGAGTAGCAAACACCGAGACG